TTCACTGCCAACTGGTGTTCATCAGGCCACAGAGGGGGTGACGTAAGAACCTTGGCGCAGTTGGATGACCTGAGGCAAAATTCTTGGCTTCTCTGTGCAACTGGGTTTTCCCACAAGAGAAGCCAGCATGTAACCCCTGAAGAATCTGCTGTGAAAGGTGCTGTCCTGGCACAGAGTTAGTACAGAGGTAGTACTCTGTAAATGTCAGCATCACTAACATCATCTTCAGGATGACCATCACCCACCTAAGGGGGAAGCTGAGCAGAGATAGTGGGTTCTGGCCCGGAGTCCCCTGAGTTTAGACGAGGTGTTAGGAGAACTCACTTAGGCAAAAGTTTGATAGCCAGGAAAAGAAAGGACCACAGAGAAAGGTCAGGAAACTTCCCAAGGGTCACATGGCAAATGACAGGAGCAGTCCCTGCCTCTCTTAATTCTTCTTCCCCCTCCACCCCACCCCAGCCTTGTGACGGAGACCACCTGAGGGGCAGCAAAGGAAGTTCAGTGAAGGCCAGAACTGCCTCGCCCAGTCCAGTGCAGTTCAGTACCCAGTAGCCACGCGGAGCCCCTCAGCCTGGGTATGCCGCCACGGGACCCGTGAGATAACCCTGAACTGTTTGGGCTGTTTTATTGTAATTAACTTACATTTGAACTTAAACACTGATACTTACTTGGAAACTTGTAAGTGGGGCTGGAACAAGTTTGAGGAGGTGAATCTACTTTTTCAACTATATAAAACCTTATGAGAACTAAATGTAGATCAAGTGTTCCCAGGAAAATTCAGCACCCGAATTGAGATGTGCTGGAAGGGTGTGAAGCGCACACCAAATTTGGCGTGCTTGGTGTGCCCAGGGAGGGTGAGAACTGGCCGATGAGTGCGTGTATTGATTATATGTTTTAAGGATCCTATTTGGGACACAGTAGGTTAAATGAAGTGTGCTATTAAAAGTTCACTTGCTATTTTTGATTGTTTTTGATGTTTCTACTAAAAAACTTAAACTTACTTACATGACTCCTCACTATATTTTCACCAGACAGTGCTGGGCTTAGAGGGACAAGGGAGGGCCAGGGAGAAGGTGACCCACTGATCCACCAGGCTGTCCTTGGCTGCTCCAGGACAGAGGCCTGGGCTCTCAGGGCACATGGGCACAGGGAGCCAGGCTGTGCTACTTGGGAGGCCGAGCTGGCTGCAGGGCTGTCCCCGCACTCTGACACTTCTCTGGCAGCAGGGAGGCATCCGGGATTAGCGTTAATTCTTTCCCTGAAGGGCAGAGAAGAAGGTTAAGTGCCTGCTGAGCAACCGCAGCTGCCCAATTAAACGGGAGAGGGGAGAGGGCAGGGGAGGAGGCCTGGGGAATGTTCTCAGGGATTCCCAGGGAGACAGGGAGGAGGGGTCCCACTTCCTTTATCTCACTTCCCCTCCCCAGAGGCCTGCTGGGTGCTGTCCTCTGCTCCTGGATGACAAAACAGTACCCTCCCCCCCTACGCTTGTGCTCCAGGAAGACAGCACAGGCAAGGACGCTCTAGGGCAGAGGAAGTCGGCCACGCCGAGGACGGGCATTAACCCACCTCACCCCACGCCACATGCCACCTGCCCCGAACCTCCATCAGTGCTATAAGTACTGTCACCATCATCCCACTCTTTAGATATAAGGCTCAGAGAGGTTCAGCATTTTCCCAGGGACACACAGGCAGGCAATGGGAAAGTCAGAGGTTTTAAACAGCTGGTTACAACATCTGACCTGAATCTGAGCTCACCACAGTGTGATGCTGGCAACATATCAGACTTGGCAGCAAAGCGGCAGAGGTGGAGGAAGGGTGGCCAGAGTCCTCCGGCATGTTGGAGCCTGGCACTGGTGATGTAGGAGACACGCCATGTTCCCGGGGGCTGCCTCCTATTGGCCCCACTTTGGATGCCATCTCCCCCAGGAAGCTTTCCCTGACTCTCCCTCCTTCCCTTCCAGATGAGCCACCTACACACCCTCCACACCCAATAGATGTGTTCATCTGTAAGCCATAAGCCAATCTATGTGAATAATTAGCCATGTTGTTTCGATTTATCCTACTAACAACCTAGTAAAAAAAGGTCCTATTACCACCCCATTGAACAGTTAAGGAAATTGCAGACAAAAAGGAAACCCAGAGAGAGAACCAGTAATGTGATGAGTACAGAGTAACTGCAGGTAGCGGCAAAGCCCAGTAAGAAGAGGAGGGGTGGGCAAAGGGGACACGGGCCGCGGTGCGAAGTGTAAGCTGAACATCAGGACGACATGGAGCAAGGCACAGCAGAGGGTGAGGACCGAGGGCAGAGGCCCTGTGAGGAAAGCTGGCTTAGTGTGTCCAGTAAACCACAAGGGGCCATACACATGCACCAGTGTTCCTGGCAGCAGTGTTCATAAGAGCTCAGAGCCAGAAACAAGTCAAGCACTCACCAACTCACAAGCAGAAATATTAATTATGGTACATCCAAACGCTGGAGTATTACTTGGCTGCAAAAAGGATTGGGAATGCTGATATACGGCCTACATGGATGCATCTGGAAACTGTTATTAGGCTGAGTGAAAGAAAGCAGTCACCAAAGACCACACATGATATTATTGTGTGATTAAATGCCCCGAAAAGCCAAATCTGCAGCAACTGGGAGTGGACTAGCCGTTGCCTAGGGCAGGAGGAGGAGGAAAGGGAGTGGCCGATAATGGGGACTGTGGCTCTTTGAGGTCAATAAACATGTTCTAAAATTAGGTGGTGGTGATCATGCAACTCTGTGCAGGTGCTAAAACCATTCATCTGTGCACTTTAAGGAGCTGTTATGGGTTAATTATACCTCAATAAAGCAGTTTAAATAGAAAAAAAAAGATGTAAGATGGGCCGGGAGACTGGAGGGGAATGAGAGAAGAAAAGGGAGACTGTGATCAGATCAGAGGTCCCCGTGTTTACAATGTGGTCTTGCAGTCCACAGAAGCTCTGGGGGTGCAAGTGGGGAACCTGGTGGTCCCAGGGGCATGTTTCAAAGCTTGCTTACTTCTGTGTAGCATCACAGTGAAGTATGTGATTGCTGGTGCCTAGATTAACATCCACAGCTGAGCCCTAGCTATGGGACTGCAGAACATTACATAATGTGTGAGGACCTCAGTTTCTCAACCATAAAATAGGATGATAACATCTCCTCACAGGAGGGCTTAAACGAGTGTTCTTGAAGCACTTACAGTAGCACCTGGCACAAGGGCAACAGTGTATGAAAGTGTGGTGACTTATGTAAATCAGGTAATCATGGGGCGATCTGTGTCCACCAAAGGAGGAAGCGCGGCCGGCCAGGGCCACTTGTTGTTTTGAGGAGTTCTGCCCCTGCCCGTGCCCCTCCCGCTGCCTCTGCAAGCTCACAAGTGATTGCTCCAGAGGCCTCCTTCCAGATGGGCAGTAAATCAGAAACCAGGGGCTCCTGTTACCAACGGTGGTGAAGTTCCCCCGACTACTCCCCCAGGTAATTGCAAGCACATGCTGCCACTAGGACTGGTCCCCAGAAGTTTGTATACCTGGGCTGCTCACACCACAGCAGCTGTCGTGAGAATTTCCACAAGCATCAAAGCTGCAAGAAGCAGCCTTCCAGGGCTCCCAGGTTTGTTTCAAGCCAGAATTGGGCAGCTCTGGATGGTCTCTAGGAGCTGAGAGAGGAAGGGTGGGTCATGATAGCATGGGGTCCTCTCCAATGGGCCTGATCTACAGGTAGGGCATAAAGGTAGAGCTATGGCAATCTGTGAAGCTACCTGCACAGGCTTTGCAATGGGGAGGATTTGCTTCAAGTTGTTTTCCACTTTCAAACTGAGCCCTAAAGTAAGCCAGAAGACACCTCTCCAGACCTTAGTTTTCCCATCTGTGAAATGGGCTTGATGTTAGCCATGTCAAAGATCTCATAGGAGAGTAGGAGTCACTTAAGTAACAGCTCTAGCACAGCAGCTGGTACATCCCTGACCCTCAAGGGGATGAAAGGACAGCAGTTAGAATGGAGTTGTGCAGCCAGATGTGGTGGCACCTGGAACCTTAGCACTCCGACAGCGAAGCCCAGCCTGGGTAACTTAGTGATTTAACAAGTCCTGTCTCAAAATTGAAAAAGGGCTAAGGAGGTAGCTCATTGGGAAGACACTGGGTTCAATCTCACAAAAAAGCGGGGAGCCACTCACCGATCCTTAATACGCAACAAGCCTTTGTTGTCCTGGGGGGGACATGAGGACAGGAGGAAGAGCAGGACACACTTAGAGACTTTCCCCATGAGGTTCCGGAGACCATGATTTTGAGGAGGAATTGAGAACTCCCCAGCAGGCTATCAGCTCTCTGCTCCTGGGCAGTTTGGCTTTAAATGCAGCCAATTCAGGACTTACATGGAGACACTAGGACTCATCCCCTCCAGCTTCCTCTCCCGGGTTGCCAGACTTAGCGAATCAAGTAATAGGATGACAGCTACATTTGAATTTCAGAAAAGCAAGGAACACTTTTTCAGTGTCAGTATCCCACTAGACAGTTGGCATAGGCACGACCTGAGGCCTGTGCTCTCTCCTGCTCACAGGCTCCATCCCCAGACTCTGAGCCCCGGTCAGTGTTTCTCCAGCCCCAGAGAAGAGTGATTCTGACAAAGCAAAACTGAGTTTGTGGATGGAGTACATGGAAGACAAGAAAACAGGTCCACACTGAGCGACAGCAAGGAGAGGAAGGGAAGGGGTGCTGGTACCCCTCAGCCTGAGGGCGACCCAGCTAGGCGATGCTGAGAGGCTAAAGAAGCGCCACGTTCTGCCTGATTCTGTGACAGCATCTCGGGTTAAACCGTCTCCAGAACTTCTCTCCAAGACTCTGCGTCCTCCTCAGCAAAGCACAGTAACAATTCAAACCCCTTGACGTAGTTGTGAGGATTATCTGAGGCTCACAGATTCCACTTGGGACCCTTTGTTCTTACACCATGGTCACAAACTCAGGAAGCAACGCCCAAAAATTCACTTCCTAAGGGTAGATAGTTTTACGAGTTGGTGCTTTTGTGATTTATTTCATTCCTTCCTTGCAAATACCGAAATGAATGCCAAGTGTTTGGCAGAGTTTCTCAGCCTTGGCACAGGCACACAGAGCCAGATGGCTGGGGTGAGGTTGGCTATGTCTTGTAAGATCTTCACAGCATCTCCAGACCTCACCACTGAGACGCCAGTAATAGCCTCTCCCTGTTGTGACGTCAAGGGGATGTCATTCCAATACACGTCCTAAGGTCCCCGGAGGCAGAGAGTAAGACTACCTCTCCATTGTGGCCACTGTGATGATAGAATAAAACACAAAGACATGTTCTCATAAGCATGTATGAAGACACGGTATCAGATGTCTACTGTACACCCTACTGTATGTTATGCATGGGGAAAACAATCTCTGGAGGCTGAGCTGTAGTCCCCTAAAATAAAGTCCAATAATAGAGACAATAATGTTACTTCTGAGAGGTAGCTCAAGCATCTTCCTGCCTCTGGAGATTTTCAAACAGCACTGAGAATGAGAGTCACCCCATCTCAACAGCATTTCCTCATCAATTCCTTGCATGGAGAAGAAGGGATAAGACCCAGCCGGCTGGTGAGCTTCCAGTTTAGCAAGTGCCAAAAGGCTCCTTGGAGCCACATCACACTGTGTACAGGGTCGATGTCTTAAAGCCCCGCTTTGCTGTTACTATTTTTTACTTGCTTGTTTTTGAGATAGGTCTTCCCATGCACCTAGGCCCTCTTTGAACTCAGTGATCTTCCTGCCCCAGTGTCCCGAGTGTTGATTACAAAAATGCTTACTAGTCTCGTCTTAAGTCATGGAAATAAGGATATCAGAAAAGGCCTGGTGAGAGCACGGGGCAAGAGAGTCGGAAGGCCTGGAGGCAGACACCTGGGAGGCTACAGATTCCACACAAGCCTGTCCTAGGCCTGACGGTGACACCCGGGTTTGTCTCGATCGATCGCCGGTGTCCTTGGACAGGCTATCCAGTCCCCTGGATGCATCAGCCCCGTGGCTGAGTGTCGGAGACAATCACACGGGGTCAGGGCTCAGAGACGCCTTCTCCCGTGGCCCGACACTCATTACTGCCGTCGTGCCATTCCCACGTTCCGAAGCAGGGCTTCCCGTTTTCATCTCGCGCTGGTCCCATACATCAAGTGGCTGATCCTGCTCTCTGAATAAAGTTGTCCCATCTCTGGGTAGTGACATCCCCCACTGTAGGACTGCTGCAAGGGTGACAAATGATGGTTCCCACACTGCCAGGACCAGCCCACGGCTGTCCCAGTAGCCTAGCGCAGTGCAACCATCTGTGGTCCCATCTCAGAAGGAAGTCCCTAACCACGGGCCTGAGACCATGACTCCCAGCTTCCGGAGCCTTTGAAATCCTCACTGTTTATTATTTCTGTTCCCCCATCTGTTTCCTGTAGCAATGAACCCTTTAAATGAAAAGGCCTGTGGATGTGGGGGCGGGAGGCAGGCAGGACAGGGCAAGGGACAGCTGGGCAGCTCCGTGCTGGTGCAGGAGCTGAAAGGAGAGGCCTAGGGAGAGCAGGCAGAATGGAGGAAATAGGGGTCCACACACTTCTGCAGGGGCCCGAAAACAGGCTCCGATGTCTGCCCTCTATTCACCTGCAAGGAATGGGTTTGAGCTGGTATCAGATTCACAGCAGCCCGCAGCCCCTCTGTGCACCACGGCTTCCAGTAACACAGAAGGCAGAGTTACTGTGGCCCTCAGCAGGTGTACCCGGGGGGCTCAGGGCAGAAGTGTCAATGGCCCCCGTCTTCTCTGTCACTGCCACCACAGCAAGTGTCAGAGCCCCAACCATCTCTACAGTTACACATCTTCAGACACTGTGAAGGTACCTCCATGTGCAATAAGTGGAGGCACCAGGCCACACCCCAGGATACTGCTGGGGACCCCCTCAGATCGGTGCGCTGCCACCCCAAAAAGAAGGTGTCCACCAGTCCTCCACAGGAAAGACATGCTATATAGCTCCGGCACGCTAATGGTGTGCACTGCGAATCTGCAGGAGCCAACTGAGGGCTTGGCTCATGCCCCACAAACCCAGGAGGGACTGAGCAGTATCTCTGCCTCCATGGCCCCAGGAGCCCCCTCCTCTAAGGCGTCCCCTCCATCTCCTCCAGCCTCCTCCAGAGAGGCAGGTCTGGGTGTGAAGCATCCCGCCTCCTCCCCAACTCTTCTCCTCTTCTCTATGCCCCCAGGCCCAGGCTTCTGACCCTCCAAAGCCCTAGCAGACGTCTGCTGTCAGGGTTCCTGCTGAGTCATCCCCTCCCTTCTGCCAGCTGTGCTGAGGACAAAATACACAGCGGGTAGAAGGGAGGAGGGGACAAGGGTGGAAAGGAACAACAGGAGCAAACAACACAGCTGTTTGTACTTCAAGAGTCACGTCCCACCATGTGCTCCCAAAGAGCTATGTCGATGCTTACGATGATGATTGTAGGTTTGTTGTTTCACAAGAATTTGAGATGTGCCTGTGGGAATGTGTCACCATAAGAATACCATCGCTCAAACAGTGAGATGCTGGAGGAAGGACTGGTTGCCTGCCTGTGTCCTGGTATAGCTTGAAAGTCAAATGTCCCCAAAAGACGTGGGGTGTTGAAGGTTCAGCACTGTTGGGAGAACGTAGAACACCTAGGAGGTAGAGGTAGGGCCCAGGAATAAGAAGTGGGGTTACTGGAGACCCCCACTGCTTCCTGTCCTCTCTCCTTTTGCTTCCTTACTGCTGTGAAGTGAGCAGCTTCCTATACCATGTTTCCTGCCATGACTGCTCTCATCACAGACCCAAAGCAACAGTTCCAACTAGCCATGGACTATACCCTCAGAACTATCAACCCAGAAAAAACGCTTTCCTCTTTTCAAGCTGATTATCTGAGGTAATTTGTTACAGTAACAAATTCTACTAATGCATACCCTGAGACACCAGATTATCCAAAGAGGTCTTGGAAAAGGGTCACAGCCCAACAAAGCCCTGGCTGCTAGTGACCTCTGGATGCAGAGACCAAGAACATCGCCTCAGCTCTAGGCCTCTGTCCTTCTTACCTCTGAGAGTGTCACTCTGAGCCTTCATCCTGTTGATAGTGAGACACTCTGTAAGACAGAGCAGTGGTCACCAGAGTCTGACAGAGCCCTCAGGAGCTATGGAAGCAGTTCTAAAGCTCAACTAGGAATCCTGTTCATAGGAGAGTTGGATGGACTTCCTGTTCAAGTTGCTCTGAGCAGCGTTGCTTAGCCAACACAGTTTAATATCCCTTCCAATCAACGTAAACGTACTTTAGCAATATCTCCCCTCTTGGGTGTGAGGGCAGCTCCTGTTCCCCTCAGCATGCAGAGCCCACCACAGACCTTGGGACCCACAGAGACCAGCTCTGAAGCCAGCAGCTGGGACAGCTCTGAGCAGGGAAATGTCACTCAGTGACTGACCTGGAAACAGAGCCCCTCACCTTAACATGGAAGACATTTCCAGGTCCCAGCTCTACAGAAGGGCATCTCCTCTGCCATTTCAGTGAACTTGACTCCTTTCAACAAATGCATTTCTAAGACCTGGAGGACAGGTGGGACTGGACAGCAAGGTCAAAGTAAGAGCCGTCACCAGAGTCATGGACCTCATCAAAGGTCCCAGGTGAGAGCAGGTCTCTGCTGACTTTGTCCCAGAGTCAGTAACACTGGCAATGTCCCTCTGGGGTCAGTTGGTGCTGCTGGAGGGCAGGTCCCACCACAAACCAGCCAGCTGATCGAGGGGTTATGCGCAGAACCCCTCGGAGCCCCTCGAATCACCAGCCATTTGTTTATTCACAAAGCAGTTATTCATGTCTCCTCTGTACAGCATTGGTTTAAAAGCAGAGAATAAAATAATGAGCAAAGATGACCACCCAGCAGCTCGCAGGTGCTGCAGAAGAGGCACATCATCAAATCTCTAAGCCTCTCTGTAAGGAAGTGACGGTACCATCCCCATCTACATTTTACTCACTTATTCTTCAATGCTTTTGATGTATTGAAGAGTCTGAATTATGCTGCAAGTAACAGAAAACTCCAATATCAACGGCTGCCCTAAACTGCTTCTTTTATGGGTACAATGTTCATGAGTAACTTGTTTAGTAACTAAGCTGTCTAACAGCCTTGATGGTTCTTTGGGCCTTTGCCTTGTGAATATAAGAAGGCTGCCACAATTTCTACCATCGAATCTTTGTTCTACTTTTTTCTCTGTCCTCCCCCTCACGACTCCCCAACCCCAGTACTGGGAATTGAAGGGCCTTTACACTGAGATCTATCTCTAGCCCTTTTTTCTTTTTTGTGACAAGGTCTTTCAAAGCCACTAACTTACCCAAACTGGGCTTGAATTTGTGACCTCCTGTCTTGGCCTCCCAGAGTGCTGGGATTAGAGGCATGCATCACCACACCCAATCCAATAAATCTCTAGTCCAAGCGACAGGAAGATGAGCAAAATGACCCCTATCAGCTGCATCAGCCTCCCTTTTGTGGGCATTCCTGGAAATCTTGTGCAACAACTTACACTATCACACACACACACTGTTGGTAACTGCTCCCCCCACACACACGGCCTTCAGGCTGACCATTCAGACGCTACAGAATCTTCTCTCCGCAGCACCTTCCTTTGGGCCCAGGTGCTTGCTGAAGGAACACACAGAGTAGGGCAGAAGCACCAAAAGGCCGCTCCTGGCCAAAAGCTGCCTCAGTTCGTGGATAAACACCCCAGCTCCCTGGCCTCTGGGGGAACCCTGGGGCCTGTGCTATACCAGCTTCCAGAGACTCCCTGCAAGATGGAGCCCAGTTCCAACTTGCTCCCTCCCACACCCTGCATTTGGCCTCTCTTCCCCATCACTTTCCCCTCCCTGGAATCATTTTCCAAATGAAGTGCAGTCAGCCCTCTGCATCACCAGGCTCTGCACCATGGACTCAACCAAAGGTGGCCTGAAAGTTTTCAGAAAAAAAATTGTGGCTGTATGGAACTCATTTGAACATTTTTCTTGTCCTTATTCTCTAAACAATACAGAAAGCAATTATTTGCATAGCATTTACATGGCATCAAACTAAGAGTAAACTAGAGTTGATTTAAAACATGGGGAGCTACCTACCACCGTGTTTTGAAGGCCTGTATTGTCAGTGTTTTGGGCTCTTTGCTATTGTTATTTATTTGTCTTTTTTCTTTGTGGTTTTCTAGTAACTTCTTTTGTTTTTCCCTCTAATACAGAAAGGATAGGTATACATTCACAGGTTTACACTTGCGTAAAACTCCTAAACAGTTTATGAGAATTGATTATATAATGCATGATGAGATGAACAGCTACTTTGAAAAAAAAAAGAAACACTAATGTACCCAGTGCTGATTCCATAGCATCATGCTGTGAAATCCCGTAATACTATTATTCTTTGTTCAGAGTGGTTTTAGTCTGTTTTGCATTGTTTAATTTCAACATATGTGAAGGAATGGATAGTTTGAGGAGAACGAGAGACATTATGGCAGCCACTGTTGATTTTTCTATTGTCTGGTTTTTAAGGCCTATAAGGCCTTTTTCACTCTGCTCTGATCAGTTTAGTGCTATTTTGTTTTCAATGAATTCATTGTGTGTGGAGATAAGGACAACTATTTAGAAGAAAACAAGAGATATTATGGTAGCCACTATAGATGTCCTGTTGTCTTGCTTTGAAATCTGTCACTTACATTGTTTTCTTCTGATTGCTTTATACTCTTTTGTTATGTTTAGTTTTACTCTCTTTAAAATAAAATTTAAAAATAAAAATAAAACATAGGGAGCTTGAGAGCATACTACATGCAAATACCACATCATCTTTTAAAATCTAAACAAGCAGCCAGTCAGTCTGTGTCCCTGCCTGACAGGAGGTGGAAGGTGTATGCCAGAAGAAGAACACAGTGCAGCTCCCATCCACAATGGGGCTCTGTGACAAGGAGAAGATGCCTGTGATCTCTGCCTCTTCTGTCCCCTGCTGGGCTTAGGGCTGCCTTGGCGACCAGACACAGCCTCTGCCCACCAGGCCTGCAGTCCCAGGGTGGTACAGATGGACAGACAGACAACCAAAGCAGCACAGTTACATGCTCCATCAACAAGGGTGGTTGGCTCTCAGCAAGCCTCTGTCCCCAGTTCAAAGTGCCTGATAACACCGATCCCTCCTGCCACCTCCTCCCAAGGCCCAGACAATGTTTGATGTTTCCATTCTGCAGATGGAAACTCAGGGCTCGGGAGGCCAACTTGCTGGAGAACACAAGCCACCCTACAGCTGAGTGCAAAGTCAAACTCACTTCATACCATCTCAGCAGGAAGCTGGGTCTCGGTTGTATGAGGGGACGAGGGACATGATGAGGGGAAGAGAAAGCAGGCGAGGCCAGGCAGGGGGCACAGCCCTGCCAAGGCTGGGCAGCCTGAGGTGCCACAAAAGGCCATGGAATGGGGGAGCTGCCCAGGCCTCCTGGGAGGATCTGCCCAGCAGAAAGGGAGCTGCGACCCAACTCCACTCACCCTGCTGGTTGGCTCACACTCGTACACAGACATACAGACACACCCTCGTGTCTTCTCCCCTCTGCACCCCATCGCCAGGCTCACCACTGCACAGGGCCCTACTACAGCTCATCACTTACTTAAACCCAGTTCACATCGACTCCCTGCTGCTGCCTGGAGGCCAAATCCCCAGCTGAGGGTCCTCCTGGAACACCTTCAGAACACAAGCATCATAAATTCAAACTCCCAATTTGGGATTAGCCATGAGCAAGCCATACAGTCTGCCGAAGCCTCAGTTTTCTCACTTGTAAACAGAAACTTAAACAGCTGCCTTGTAGTTTGTGATAACAGCCGAATGAGATTATACAGCAAAGAGCCTGGCACCGCGCATATCAGCGTATGTCAGCCATCCGGACTATCACTAACACTGGCACCTTAAACGGTCCAACTCTCAGGGCCCCCAGAGTGCGCTAAGCAGGTCCCTTCCACGGTTTTTGTGCCATAGCTGCTCTGGCCTTCTCTTACCCTCTCTCTGTCCTAACCATTCCCTCCCTGAGGCCAGAGAATCTTCTCCTCTGGCCATCTGTCATCAGGCCCAGTAAGTCTCAAGCCTGGCTGCACATTAGACTCACTGGGAAGCTTTTAAAATGCCCCTTGGGTGGGCCACAAGGGTCCCAGTGCTTAACAGTTCTGGGGCTGGGTTGGTCCCCAGAGGGCACGTAGATCTTGAGTAACTGAGATCTGTGTGACAGCCCTCTAGCCTCTCCTTCCAGTGAGGCCTGCAGTTTGGCCCTGTTTTTGGTGTGTACAGTGGCTTTCCTTGCCTAATAACAGGCTTAAGGGTGGCTGCAAACCCACTTTCTTGCAGAGAGACATGAACAGCGCTTTGGTGACTAAAGAGTTCTGCTATCCTAGGCCAGGCTAGGGTAGAAGGAAGGCACACGGTAGCCTCACTGATCCCTGTCCTGCCTGTCCCCCTCATTCCTTGCTCCTCTGAAGTCTGAAGTCACCGTCACTCAGACTAGACAGCCTCTAGCAAGAGGACTCCTCAACACAAACCCAGGGGCCTATCCCATGCTCCCAGACTGCCTGCTGGAGTCGCCTGCCGCCTCTTGGACCCTCACTCCACTCCACTGAGCCCTTTAGAACAGCCATAGGCCATCCTAGAGGGACCCCAGTGGAAGGGATGCTTCCAGCCTGACACATGACACTTCTCCAAGATCTCATAGAACTCTCCTGCCCCACAGGCTCTTTTTAGGGTGTGACTTTGCCCTCCCCACTAAACGGGAGCATCTATCTCTCTGCCCCTGCCCTTTGTGACTGCCTCAACCTCATGGATGACCAAATAACACACACTGGGTGGCTCCCAAGACTAGATGTAATAGGGGATCCAGGTCCTCCCATATCCCCTCTTGGGAAGCTTATTCTTAGAGCCCACAGGACAGGCTGGAGGCAGCACAGTCCCTGTGGGGAGGCTACCACCTCGACAACCAAGGCCTCTGCCACAGTCAGGTCAGCTGCACACATGCCCAGCACTGCAGCTGTGTATGGGGCACCAGGAAGCCTACAGGAAAGCTGCCTTCCCAACCCCGCTGTAATAAAGGTGATATGTCACTGCACCCACTAAGTGTAAACTGCCTATTACACAGTAACAGATAACTCATGTGCAAGCCTTGAAAATAGACTCCAGGCCTTTGCACCAGGAATCCCAGGGTCCCCAGGGCTCAGCACATGAAAGGAGCCCAACTGGAAGACACCTAGGAAAGGATGTCAGCAGGCTAAGGGTGACATTGCACCCAGAGATGCACTCCATGGTGAGTGAGGTTCCAGAGCGACAGTCCAGACTGCAAATCTGCTAGCTGAAGTCTTGTTCTTGCCTTTAGTAGAGAGCATGCTGGGTAGGGCTGAGCATGCTGAGCTCAGCAATCAGATAGGAGCTGCCACCCTGACACTTGTTTGACTTGGCTCCTTCTCTGGCTCTGAAGAAAAGGAATTGCTGCCAGCATTTAAACATTGGAAGCCTTCAAACAAAACCAGTAGAGGTACCAATATGTGTCTCCCCCACCTCTGATTACAGAAACAAACTTACAGTAGTAACATTTTCTCTTGAAACCCTGAGGAGCTGCCCCCCTGGGCTCCCTATTTTTCTTGGTTACAGCTAGCTAAAGGGGCTGGGGATTTAGCTCAGCGGCATAAGTGCCTGCCTTGCAAGCATGCAATGGATCCTGGTACCAAAAAAAACCCAACTAGCTAGAGCCCCCCCCCCCACTTGCTTTTGCCTTAAACTATCAGCCTCCACCATTGTGTGAAACTTTCCAGACCGTGTAGGCATCTGATTTTAGAATTGTCCAAGTATATTCTCTCAGATTCCTCACTTCCCAGTTGTGAGACCCTGACCTTTTCTCTGGCTGTTTTATAGCCTGAAAGACTCAGATCACTCAGCCTTCCAACACTGGGATAAGAACTGCAATAAAAATGCATAGGAAGGGGGACTCTCGTGGAGCAGCTGGCATATGGCAGTACCTTACACATAACTGCAAGGATTGTCACTGAAGGTTACTGTTGTTCCAGACCTTGGGCCTAGCGTCCTGCTTGGAAACTCGACTCCTGCTCCAGCAGTCCTGCTTGGGCCACATTAGCTCTCTCCCATCACTTCAGCCTGCAGATTCATCCCCAGCCCAGCAGATCCCCAGGGACTGGAAGCAGCCAGCTGCAGCCCAGTCTTTGAATGTAAATATTAGTGTTGGCTCATCCAGTAGCATGGGACACAGAAGAGCCAGCCCAGGGGCTACCTCAGCCTGGCCTTCCAGCACACTGGCCTGCATACCTGAGGCTAACATGGGGAGAACTCAGCTGGCAACCTGTGTACCTTCCATCCTAAGTCGTGGAAGGACTGATCTGCCCCAGGCTACCAGGTCTGGGCCCTTTAACTGCAGCAGCTGAGAGGGAGGCTGGAGCTGAGGCTCCTGGCACTGAGAAGGAACATCCCATAGAGGGGTCTGCAGAGCCCAAGCTTCCTGCAGGAAGACTCTGTTCTAGCAGGAGGCCGTCGGCTTCTGCGGCTCAAGCTGAGGGACCCACTGCAGCTATAATTATCTGGTTATTTCAGGCAGAAGGCTTTGGCTCAAGCTGCAGAGCCTCAGCTATTTGTCACTGGCCGCAACCAGAGAGACCTACTCCAGCTTTTAGCTGGAGCTCTTAGTTGGGCAGGGAGGATTATTGTTATTCCAGGGGCTCTAAGCAACACAGGGCGGGCAGAGCAGTGTGCTCTCTGCTCATGGGCATCCTGCTTCCGCACGCTTCCAGACTTCTGGATGCCACTGGGGCTCGGCAGCTTGCCCTATCCTGCAGCTCTCTGGGGGAGGTAGTGGTCACTAGGGTGGCCTGTGGGGTCTGTTGGGCCTGGAGTGACATCTGGCTCTGCCACTTCCTAGCTGTATGTCTTGGACAAGTTCCTGAACTTCTCTGTGATTCAGTAACTTCATCTACAAACAGTTGTACCTAGAAGAGGTACAGTTGTTTAAGGCTGAAACGGGCAGGATACTGCCCCTCCCCCAGTGCAGAGGGAAGAGTAGCTGGCCCCAAGGTGAATGTGCCTTATGCTCTAGTCAGGCTTTGTGACCAGCACCTGTAGGCTGCTCAGTATCTGCAGATAATTGGCTGCCACCCACGCTGACTCCATCAGTGGCCACTTCCTCCCCAATATGGCAACTCCCTGACATGTAGATGAGGGAATACTACACAGAAGTTAAAAAGGAATAGGGCCTACTTCCACTCACTGACAGGGAAGAATTTCCTAACAGACATTTGGGGACATGTGCTACACATGTGCTTTCCTGCCTCGTCTCTTCCCTATGCATGGCAGGTACTGCAGGCTCATGCAGATGCCCTGATTACGGTCAAGTACAAAGCCCCCATGACTCTACCCCTCTCCGTGAAACCACCCACCTCCTGCAACAGCATCACCACAAATATCCATGCACACAGCGAGTCTTTGTTGGAGAAAATCCCTCTCAGCTCCACTCTCTGCCAAACCGGGCAAGGGCTGCAACGCGACAGAATTATCAGCATCGAGCTAACAGTGACAGATGAGCAGACAGGCGAGTGGGGACAGCGAGCAAACAGATCCATTTCCCAGCCTGAGGATCCATCTGGGCTTCCCCCCCAACAAAAAGACAAATTTCTTTTGAGGTATCCACAGGGCCTTGTGTCGGAGTCAGTTTTATTCCCACGAACAGCTGAGGAACGAGGCAAGTGGGGCAGGCGGCAGCTCCTTGCTGAAGCCCTGAATGTCTTCTCCCCTCAGTGACACCTCTTTGTGATTGGAGCCAAGAGGCTGCTGCAGGAGCAGGAGAGCAAGGAAGGGGGTGGGAAATGCAGTCCTTGGGCACAGAGAGCCAGCCTGTCCGGGTGGACAATAGCCAGCCTCAGGCCGGGGCTCTGCTTACCTCTGAGGTCCACTCCGAGCATTTTTCCCAGTCAGCCAGGCCCAGGCAGCCCTCTGGCAATTTCCATAGGCCCACTCGCTCCTGGGACAGTAGGGCCAGAAGATGCTCAAATCCACATCCAGGGCCCACGGAAAGGACAGATGGCACCCACACACGTGTAGCTACAGGGGCTGGGTATCCCTGCAGCTGTGATAATTCCCTGCTGTTAAGATAAAATACTCCACACTGCAACTTACAGGAGCAGTGGTTTATAGTTTCAGAGGCTTCAGTCCGTGGTTGGTGGCTCCAGGCCAGAAACATCATACAAGGATGTGGTAGAGAAAATCTATTCACTTCATGGTGCTCAGCAGGAGAAGAGTACCTGTGAGAGGTAGATGACCCTGCAAAAGCACAGCCCTGGGGCCCACCTCCTAGTGGCACATCAACTGTGTACCCAGGGATGACCCACTGAGGAGGACAGCTCCTCTGCAAGGGTCTCTTCTCAGGCAACTGACAGTTAAAATTAGCTGGTACATGAGACCCCTTACCAACATCCTATGTTCGTCCCTTTTCTGCTCTTATAATGAAATACCTGAGGTTTGGTAGTTTGCAGAGCAAAGGACTTCATTCCTCTTACAGTTCTGGGATCTGAAAGTACAGAGAGCACAGCGCTAGCTGGCTGCATCTTATCATGGTGAAATGCAGCCTGGGAGCACACACAGGAAGGAGAGGCCATGTGTGTGGGAGACAGGAAGCAGAATACAGGAAGGCAGGTTCTGTCTGTCTGTCTGTCTCTCTCTCTGTCTTTTGAGACGGGGTCTCTCTATATAAGTCTGCATGGTTGCTTCCAAGGACAGCACCACTATCT